TTTAATAATTACAACCTTTATTGAAAAAAATTTAAGCCATTCCCCTTCTTAAAAGGAAAAAAAAAAAAAAAAAAAAAAAAAAAAAAAAAAAGACAGCCTGTAACAAGTGAATCTCTTAAAAAAAACATGCTATTAGCAAGCCACCTGCTAGTGGACACGTGTCAATCATTGAACCACACTGCTTCACTCTCACTACATATATTTATAGTAAATAGATATAAAACCCCCATGTTTCATAAAGAAGATCTTGCCTCGGACTTCCCACCAGTTGGCGGTAGTTCACAAAAGTTGCGGTATAGCGCATTAACATTTATTTTAGCGGTTAAAGAACATAATAATCAAGTGTAGCACAAAGGACTTGTGAAACTTTGTTCATCATCAGGAAACAACTTCTTGGGACCAAGTTCATTGAACATGTAACCTGCCAGGAGGAAGCCACAATCATAAGACAGTAATGACTCTGGAGGTGTATCTATCACTAGAAGATTATTAAACAACTAAAGTCATGTGAACATCAACAAGTGCAACACTAACAACAAAGAAAGCTTGTTGCTTTTTGTTTTATCAAAACTTTCAATTGTCTTTTGGCTTCCAATTCTCAAAGACAATTCTAAAAAGACTTTTTTAGTATCTTGTAGATCATAGTTTTGCTGTTCTAAGCAATGGCCATCGTTATCAAAAGTTGTTCCCCAATGTATTGTTGATAACTATTGACAATTTTTTCTGCAATGGTTTGGTTGGTAATCTCATCCTAGTTTGGTGGAATGTCAAAGCAGCACACATCTTTTACTTAAATAACATAATTTTTGGCAAAACATTGTGGGCCTTTGTTGCCAAGCTGGGTATTTCATCAAGATGACAATGATAATTGTCTTTCAGTGATGTAATCAGCAGTCTAAAGATCATCAAACCTAGATCACACTCAAAAGTAATAGCGTATTACCAACCAAAATATCCCGGGTACAGTTCAATCAAGAGGGCTTGATTAAGATTCAATTACAGAGCTGATAGTTGGTTTATGGGTGTCAAAAAATTGGTCATATAGCTAAATCATTTTTTTATAAATAAAGTTATATAGCTAAATCATGAAATTTATAAAGCATGCGGTAGATTAGCATATCCCTGACAGTAACACCCATAACATATTCCTAGAACAATAAGAGTGAGAATCTTCTAGAGACTAGAAGGCAGCTGAAGGTCCAAAATATTGATCTTCTATTTTTTTTAATGGTCCTACTGCTAATTTGGTCATCTTCCATCGGCTACGATAAGATTAATGTTTTTCAAAATTAAAAAAAATTACTGGGGGTGGGAGGAGAAAAGATTAATGACTTCACTAAGCCTAAGTTTCTTCCAACTACTTCGCAGTGCGAAAAATATTATGTCCTCTCCGTTCAAATTTTAATTATTACATGGTTCATACATGATCAAGTGTCAACCTTACCCATTGTCCCAATAATATGTCTAAAATATAGCATGTAGCACTAACCAAATACAACTTCAATGACCTTTAATTATGTGATTTTCAACTGGGGATCATTCGTGGCAATTCCTTAATTTCAGATATGCTGAAATGATAAACCAAGTTATCACTGCCAAGCACTCTTAAGACTGTGTAGCCCCCAGAAGCAACTATTCTTTAAGAATAATGTTATACGAATGATTTTCTACTCTAAACTAATATCCAAAAAATATTTGTTTCAACTTGGCAGAGCTTTGCATGAGAAGGATGAGGAACGCATGACAAGGGCAAAGTTCTTCCTAATTGCATTAATTTGCAGTTTTTCATGGTATCTGGTTCCAGGGTATCTTTTCTCTACACTTACAAGCATTTCATGGATATGCTGGGCATTTCCCAAGTCAGTTACAGCACAACAAATTGGTTCGGGAATGAGGGGACTTGGGCTGGGAGCACTAACACTTGACTGGACTGCTGTGGCATCATTCTTATTTAGTCCTCTCATTAGTCCTTTCTTTGCCATCGTCAATGTTTTCCTGGGTTATGTATTGATAGTTTACATAGTAATCCCTATATGTTACTTTGGCCTAGACTTGTATTCTGCAAGAAGATTTCCAATCTTTTCCTCACATCTGTTCACAGCCGAAGGGCAAAAGTACAACATAACAGCTATTGTGAATGATAAGTTTGAGATAGATCTACCAAAGTATGAAGAGCAGGGACGAATTCATTTAAGCATGTTTTTTGCTCTCACTTATGGCTTCGGTTTTGCCACCATTGCTTCCACTCTTACACACGTGGCTTTCTTCTACGGAAGGTAAATATTTTACTCATCTTTTATCAAGTTCCAGACAAGGCTTAGCTTTCAATTTTTTTAGGCATACAAATAAAAGTCTTTCATATTAGGAGAACAAAAGGAAAAAAAATGGCTGAGAAATGCAACTTTTTGATAGCTCAAGTCAGTCCACATTACCTCAGAAGTTCTTTTAACTGTTTGTTGTTGGTTTTCTAATCAATAATATTAAATTATTAATGTTCTATAAAAAATTTCTTTTAACAAATTTTCTAGAACGTTAAATTTTTCTTTTTACAAGTTTTCTATTAAAAAATTAAATTTTATGTTGTTTTCTTTTTCACAATGTTATCACAAATTTCTTACAACCTGAGGTAGTTACCTACCATTTTTTTCATTCTTGGTTTCTGCTTGTCCGGTTACCCTAAGTTATATCTTTTCAAACCAATGGTTTTCAGATACCATTTTCTCCATTATTTTTAATTAAAACAGAAAATTTTATATATTCATACACTTTTCATATATAGGATATAGTATCAAAGTGATATGATTTCATACTATAAGAGGAAAAATAAGCCTAAAGTCTGTAAAATGGAAAATGGTCAGTGCAACCTTCTTTTCATCCATATTCAGAATGGCTTTTGAAATTTAAATTTACAAGCCAGTCAGGTTTTCATATGCACCTATGATCAACAGGGAAATTTATGAACGATATCGTGCTTCTTACAAGGGCAAGGAGGATATCCATACAAAATTGATGAGAAAATACAAGGACATACCTCCTTGGTGGTTTTATTTGCTGCTTGGTATGACAATTGCAGTCTCTCTTCTACTCTGCATCTTCTTGAATGATCAGGTTCAGATGCCATGGTGGGGACTCATCTTTGCCAGTGTCATGGCCTTCATCTTCACCCTTCCAATCAGCATTATCACTGCCACAACAAATCAGGTAACTGAATAAACTACTGCTCCATTTTCCTTTTCTTAACTTACAGCTAGTTGATTAAAATACAAGAACTTCTCGTTAACGCTAGGATTGTATCCCAACTACTAAGCCTGGGTCGCAGTAGAATGGTTTTCCACACATCATACAGGATTAAACTTGTTTCTTCCAATTCCATGATTGAATTATTCTCTCTCCTTAAACTTCATAATTAAGTTGGCATTTTCATTGCAAAAACATCTTTTGCAATGGCACAAAGAGAGTGCCAGCCTGGTAAAAAACTCTACGTCAAAGTTTTGGTTTTGTAGTGTGCATTGAAATTTATCAAATTTATGAGTTTCTTTAATTTTGTTGCAAGCTGTCTCAATTTTGTGCAACCTTTCTCTAGTCATTTTTGGGATGAAGTCTTCCTTTCCCATTAATGCTTGGGTGCTTTTTCATACAGACGCCAGGCTTGAACATAATCACAGAGTATGTCATGGGTATCATATATCCTGGAAGACCAATTGCCAATGTATGTTTCAAAACGTACGGTTACATGAGTATGGCTCAAGCTGTTTCTTTCCTTAGCGATTTCAAGCTAGGACACTACATGAAGATCCCTCCAAGATCAATGTTTTTGGTTCAGGTACATTTTTCTCTCCTACTAGTGTGTACACTACCCATGATGCAAGAAAAAACATAAGCTTAAGCAATGTTTGATTTTCATTTAATCTTAATAAGAACTTTTTCAACAAAAGAAGAAATGGCCACAGAAACTATCATAGGCACTGGGGATTTTGATAGGCAATTCTATAGTTTCCCTGATCCAACAAATGACCCTAGTAATACCAAAAGGAAAGTGACAGCAGGAGCAACCACTGAAAATGCTACAAATCAAAAAGCAATTTGCAGGAATTCAAAAAGGAATTGAATACAATGGTTTAAGCATTTCACAAATCTATATAGCAAACAATATAAAGGAAAAATTCTTGTATGGCCAACAGATGGGTTTATTAAGTTCTTTTTTTAAAAAAAAAATAAATGGGTTTATTAAATTTTGTGGGAGTCATTTATGACTAAACTGTCATTTTCTTCAAATTCTACTTTCACTGCTATCTTTTCTAGCTCAGTTGTAACTAACTTTAATACTATGATGCTTTTCAATCTATATCTGGACAGTTCATTGGAACAATTCTTGCTGGAACATAAACATTTCAGTCGCATGGTGGTTGCTGACTCTGTTGAGAACATATGCCAAGATGAACTCTTCCTCTGATAGTCCTGGACATGTCCTGGTGATAGAGTATTCTTTGATGCGTCTGTGATATGGGGTTTGGTAGGACCCAGACGGATCTTTGGAAGGCTAGGAAACTATCCAGCAATGAATTGGTTCTTCCTTGGAGGTGCAATAGGGCCCATTATAGTTTGGCTGTTTCACAAAGCATTCCCTAAAAAGTCTTGGATTCCCCTAATTAACCTTCCAGTGCTCCTGGGAGCAACAGGGATGATGCCGCCAGCAACAGCATTAAACTATAACGCATGGATCCTAGTTGGAACAATTTTCAACTTTTTCATCTTCCGTTACCGTAAACAGTGGTGGCAGAGGTACAATTATGTCCTCTCAGCAGCACTAGATGCTGGCGTGGCTTTTATGGCTGTATTATTGTACTTCTCACTAAGCATGGAAGGTAAAGGTTTGACTTGGTGGGGTACAGATGGAGAACACTGTGAACTAGCAAGTTGTCCGACTGCCAAGGGCATAATGGTTGATGGTTGCCCAGTGAACTAATACCTGTAGTTTTCTGTTATATGCATTCTCCTTCAAAAGTTTGAACACCACCATTAAGAGTTGCAAACCGGTCTATCCTTCAATCAATCACTAAAGGAAGAAAGCTCTAGTAAGAACAAGCAGAACATCAAAATGGTTATGCAAGAAGAACCAACAGGGCTTTTACTCTTTCTTTGACTAAGGAGATCGTATGCCACAAGGATAATTGTCCTAACAAAATCCACCTCTGTATTTTTAGTATGTTTTTGGAACTATTAGCCATTTGAATGATACAAAAAGGACAAACGACCACAGGTAGTTTGTATATCTATTCCAAATGGTTTAATGAGGAAAATTTTTTGGGGCATACTATAATTTTAAAGCTCTTGAGGAGAAGGGAATCATCTTTATCAAAGAATAAGCTGAAGCAGATGTAATATTCTTCTGGTTAAATGTTTACTCCCTTAAAAGATATTCTGGGGGGTGGGTTTGATGTTTCAAATTGAAGATATAATTTTTGATCAGACAATACAAACATCATTAAACTACTGAAAGTCATAAAAGCACTAGATATGAATAGCCTGTAATATATGAAACAGACAACTACCAAATTATATGAAACAGACGACCATAAAAAAATTATATGAAACAAACAACACTGTGAACTACAATTTAGCAGTTTTGATATGTAGGAGGAGATAATATACTACTTTGAACAAGTCCATTGACTTGATAATAGGTGAGTGCCTCAAGGATGGTGTTTCATACCTTGAGGAGATCACATTGCAGGCCCTGAAACCCACTGGTTGTACTCATCCATTCTTATAATGAAAGAGCTCGAACTTGGGGAGCCACCTCCACCGTATGCCTTCCATTTAGCAAGGCAAAAGAAACTTGTTTCAACTATATACCAAAGTCATATAGAAGTGAAAATATGGAGTTCATTAACCAGGAGTTCACCTTAGCAACTTCAGAGGTATCAGTGGTGCTATCAGTACTCCTCAAGCACATTTTCAAATTCTTCCGTTGCATGCATACAACAGCTCCAATGGGCCTGACATCAACAATACAGATACTATGTAATAGGTCCTTCTGCACTTAGCAATACATATATACGCCAAAAGTGGAAATATCTGCTTACAAGGAAATGAGAATGACTTGTTAAGGAAGAAACTGTGCTGTTGAGAAATGGTTTGAACTATGAAGTAGTAGAAAAGCTTTTAAAAAAGCAGGCAGCCAAATAATTGAAAACCTTCACAGCAGACAGCACATGTGAAAAGACATTGACAACATTTCATCAGTCTTTTTGGAAAAATAATAATAATAATAAAGTAAGTGTACACATTTCACCTTAAAACTATGAGCATGTAACCACTCAAATTGACAGAGTGCTCTTCTATCCCGAAGTGTCAATAAACTTGGTGTTTTGATAAAAATTAATAAAAATTTAGATATTAATTACAAATGTTATATATGTATTGCTAATTTTAAGAGGATATGAAAAAGAACATAAAATTCTAGAATTGATGTACCTATTTTATACTTTAAGTCAATTCTAATAGCCTAATAAGCACTCTGTTAGATGTTACCAAACATGAATATCAGAACATGAGTGCTTAAAGTTTCTTATAAGCACCAACTAAGCAATCCCAACACCCTCTAAAGCTTCTTTTTTTCTTTACCCCACAAAAATAAGCATCTCAAATAAAAGCATCCATGAGAAGGGCAATGAATTAATTTAGAAATATGTACCAACAGAAAACAACCTAGGCCATAAAATCGAACAGTTGTAAGACATTTTAATTTTGACACCAAAACCAAAAACTAACTTGGTTGGATGGCAAAAGTCTCTTGGGACATGACTATGTATAATAGGGCTTCGGCATAAAGAGCTATTCTCAGTTGTTTTGAATAGCATGCTATGTTCAAATCAGGTGGTATCAATAGGTGCCAAGGAAAGGCATCTCAGACTCTCAGATTGCTTCAGAGCAATGCCAATTTGATACTTAAATCATATCTGATTGCCATATGGAAATCTCTACACTAACAACAAATTATCCGTGGAACCTTTGGTGAGTAGGAAATATGGAAGAGAAATTTAAGACATCTAGACACATTTTTAACAGAGAATAATTACCTTAAACCAGCTGCTGCACTTTTTAGACTAAGTTGCTTGCCAATTTCATCACTTAAGTTGGAATTTCCGTCTATTTTCACTCCCTGAGACCAGAGAGAAAAATTAAAAATTTGCTTAAATATGTTTAAGAAGTCAGGAAGAACAGAGAGGGAAATGCTACAAAATGCATCCATCAATTTTATCCTACACCATAAAATTAAGATGTGTGCAATGAACAGCGTCACTTGGAGAGCTAAGGCTGTGCAAATGGTCAAGGAAGTCCACATAAAATAAACAATAAGTTCTGATAAAATGTATAGAAGTACATTAAAGAAACATGGTGATTTATAATTACCAGGCACTCCCCATAAAAACCTCTGCCCAATCTAATTTTAAAAACCTTATCCATCAGCTTATTTGCAGCAATCTGCTGATAAGAAATATATGAATTTCCGCTGCTAATTAGACCCTCTGTACTGATCTTCAATAACTGCAACAAACATAAAACAGCAACAATAATAACTGAAGTTTTTAGAGAAAATAAACTTATAAATTTTTTATTTCTTATTTTGTTTACATTTAGAAAATATATATAAACTAATTATCCTTATTTTATTTGAACTCTAATTATAGGATATAATTATACAATTAGAACTCTAAATAATATAATATTCTACTTAATATAAAATCCTTATCAACACTCCTCCTCAAGTTGGCGCAAAGATATCACACATGCCCAACTTGCAAATCAAGTTCTGAAGAGATTTGTTGCATGGTCCTTTAGTAAAAATGTCAGCCACTCAGTCGTCAGAAAATACATGATATAAATATAGAGAGCTATCAACCACGTTCTTTTTTATGAAATGTCGATCAATCTCAATGTGTTTTATCCTATCATGTTGAACTGAATTATGAGCAATGTTAATCATTGCTTTATTGTCACAAAACATGAATAATTTTTCATTTTTAAGCAGTTTTAACTCCCTCATTAGTTTTTACAACCATAGTACTTCAGATACTCCTTGGGCCATTGCTTTATATTCTGCCTCAACACTGGAGCGAGCAACCACACTTTATTTCTTACTTTTCCATGTGACTAAGTTGCCTCCTACAAGTGTGTAATAACCTGTAGTTGATCTTCTATCATCTAGGGAACCAACCCAATTGGTATCTGTAAATATTTATATTTTAAGGTGACCATACTTAAAAAAGAGTAGACTTTTTTCTAGTGCAGACTTCAGATATCGTAATATGCGGAAGATAACATGTAAATGAGTCTCACGAGGATCATGCATGTACTGGCTCACAAGACTAACTGCATATGCTATATCGGGTCTGGTATGTGAGAGATAAATGGGTTTTCCAACTAGTCTCTGGTATCTTTCCAAGTCAACTGATGTACCACTACCTGCTTGCAATTTGTGTTTGTTCTTAATAGGTGATTCTACTAGCTTGTAACCCATCATACCAGTCTCTTCTAGTAAGTATAGGATATACTTCCTTTGAGAAATGAAGATCCTTTTATTGGATCTGTCAACTTCAATCCCCAAGAAGTATTGTAATATTCTTAAATCTTTTATTTCAAACTCTTGAACAAGAAGTTCTTTCAATTGAGTCATCTCCTTTGTATCATCTTAGGTCACCTCAATATCATCCACATAAATAATGAAAAGAGTGACTTTACCCTCACGATATTTAATAAACAAGGTATAATCCGCATTACTTTATTGATATTCAAAAGAGATTATAACTATTCTAAACAGTTCAAACCATACTCTTGTAGACTGTTTCGATCCATATAAAACCTTTTTTAATTGACAAACTTTTCCTTGCATCCTCTCATCTTCAAATCCAGGTAGAATTTTTATGTACACCTCTTCCTCCAAGTCTCCAGGGAGACATGCATTTTTTACATCAAACTGCTGTAAATCCCAATCAAGATTAATTGTGTTCATCTACGCAACAGGTACAAATGTCTCCTAATAGTCAATCCCATAGGTATGAGTAAATCCTTTAGCCACCAATCTAGCTTTGTATTTTTCGATCGATTCGTCTGCTTTGTGTTTTACAGTGAACACCCATTTGCAACCAACTATCTTCTTTACTGCAGAGGTGAAACAAGTTCTCATATTTCATTCTTTGTCAATGCTTTCATTTCTTCAATCGTGACTTTCTTCCACTTGAGATCTCCCAGAGGTTATCTCCAATGCTGTGGAATAGACACAGAGGAAATAGACAAGACAAAGACTCTATAAGAGGGAGATAGAGAGTCATATGCAACAAAGTTAGATATAGGGTGCTTAGTGCAAGTTCTCGTTCCCTTTCTAATAGCAATACATTTATCTGATAAATCACAAGAGAAAAATAATTCACCGGTATCTTCTGAAACCAAAGAAGATTCTTGACCTGGGACAGACTGCATAATAACTTTTTCAAACTTCTCTTTCCTTGAATACCTTTTCAAGTCTGATTTGTCTAGATATCCTACATTATTTTCTTGATTAAGACTTTCTGTAATAGAATTCTCCCCCTGAATATGATTCTCAATCGTTATCCAATTAGGTATTACTTCTTCCTTCTCACTCTCCCCCTGAAGAGGTGTTGAGTTTGAGTTGAAGTAAGGTTCATTCTCCCTAAAGGTAACAACTATAGTTACAAAATATTTTCTAGATGGTAGATGATAACACTTATAACTTTTTTGGATAGAAAAATATCCAACAAATACACACTTAAGAACTCTAGGTTCTAGTTTACCCACATTTCTAACATAAACAAAACATACACATCCAAACGCTTTTGGGGAAACAATGTAAGAATTTTTTCCTTGCAAAACCTCCATAGGACTTTTAAAATTTAGGATCCGCAAAAACATTCTATTAATAAGATAGACAACTGAGAGAACTGCATTTCCCCAGTAACTCTTTGGTAGATTCATGGTGAACATTAGTGACCGAACTACCTCTAGTATATGTCTTTTTTTTCTTTCAGCAATTCCATTTTGTTCACTGGTGTAAGCACAACTTGTTTGATGAATTATCCCATTTGACTCCAAGTAGGCACATAACCCACTATCCATACATTCTATACCATTGTCAGTTCGCATAATCTTAACTTTAGCACCAAACTGTGTACATATTATTTTGTGAAAAGATTGAAAACATGAAAATACATTACTTTTTACTTTTAACAGATAAATCCAGGATACTCTACTACAACAGTTAATAAAAATAACAAACCATCTATGACCAGAA